AGTGCGGAGTCTAAAAAGAAAAAAAAAGAAAAAAAAAGTTAAAAAAAAGAAAAATTTAAGTAACAGAATATAAAAGTGAATTAAATAAATAATTAAATACAAAGATAAACTAGAAATAGAAATTTAAGAAATGAAAATAATAATTATTAAAAATTCACACCACCTGAGGTGGACTGTTCCTATCGCGTATATTTCATTCAGTCCAAATGGTATATTCAACTCGCGATTTTCATAATTAGCAGTTCACTTTTAGGAAAAAAGTAAAGAACAGTCCAGTTTTGACCATATCTAGAAAATGTGAGAAATTACACCTTCGGTTTCCTTAGAAAGCTGTGTTGCCTCGAAACAAACTCAAGCTTTGCTTTCCAAACTGCTCGTGTGAATTAACCCTTGAACCATTCAACAACTTGTCAACTGCGCGTCCTGAAGTTCTCGCAATTTGATTGATGAAATTCAAACTAAAACCTTGAAAATTTTTTCGGCGCTGAAAAATAGTAAGATAAAAAAAGATGTGCATTGACAAATAAAAAATAAATAAATACACAGGTAAAGCTGCACTTTGAGAAAACAAATTTTCACAATAAAATATTTTCCCAAAAAAGCCATTTCAAGTGACAGCGCCGCTTGTCTAGCCATTAATTCCACGTGCAACTGCGGCCATGTATTTTTTCGACTAGGTGGAAAACGCGGGGCCGGGGTCCCGGGCTACGGGCTACGGGATCCCGGGCTACAAGGTCTCTTGTGATCTTCGAAAGCCCTCGAAAAACGTCGAATTACCTTCGGCTATCTTCGGAAGGCTTCGGGTCAACTTCGTCTACCTCGGATTTCCATTGGCAGTCGTAAGTTTCTTCGTACTAACTTTGGATGTCTTTGTTGTAATTTGCACGAATGATTCAAATTTGTACTGGTGTTACATGAAAACTGCACTACTTTTTGACCAATCAGGATCGAGTAATTTTTTCAAGTGTATTATTACAACAAAAGCAGGAACCCTGGATGCGCACACTAAACATTTGAAATCACGTTTATTGCTCTTATCTCCGATAGATTTGTCAGTTGCTCTGAAACGAATGGATTTACCACTGCTCATCACTCTGTTGCCACTTATGCTTACCGAGATCACGCTCTCCTCGGCCAGCAAGGTAAGCTGCACTGGCTGCTCGTCTCCTAGCGAGTGTAATGCAGCTGGAAACTGCACAAGCTACTGTACCGGGGGTGGATGTAACATGACTTGTTCGCAGAGTGTAAAACATTGCGGTCAAATCTGCACTGGTAGAGGCTGCGACAGTAACTGTGAAGCTGAAAACTGCAAGCTTGGATGTACCGGGGGTGGATGCACCATGACCTGCCCACCTGGCGTAAAAGATTGCCATTTGATCTGCACAGGTGGGGGATGCGACTGCTACTGCGATGCCGATAACTGCAAGCAAGATTGTGTTGGAGGTTGCACAAACACTAACTTACCAGACGGCGTAGCCTGCACTGGTGGATGCCACAGTGTCTGTGATGCTGGAAGGTGCACGCTTGGTTGTATTGGAGGAGGATGCGACATGACCTGCCCAGAGAGCGTCAAGTATTGCGATCCAATTTGCACTGGTGGAGGCTGCCACAGTAAATGTGAAGCTGAAAACTGCACGCTTGAGTGTACCGGAGGTGGGTGCAACATGACCTGTCCAGCTGGCGTAAAACATTGCCATCTAATCTGCGTAGGTGGGGGATGCGACTTCAACTGCGATGCCGACAACTGCAAGCAAGATTGTGCTGGAGGTTGCATGAACACTAACTTGCCAAACGGCGAAGCCGGAGATCGAAGTTCGATGCGTGACCACATAGAGACTTTATTGAATAGCATGGGAACAGACTCCCAGCAAGCCCGAACGAAGCGAGGGAGCCTGTAGACATTCTATTGATGCCGCCGTTTCATGATACCAGGATCTGGTAATTAACTTAATCAATATAAGAATCTTCTGAGCTTAATATGACAAAGAGTCATCTCTTGATTTTCGTTTTAAACCGATTTAACGTGTGGTTGTTTAGGTCCAGTGGCATCTCATTCTATTCTGATGTTCTAATTCGAATTCCAAGATACTTTAACATATTCTTTGCACTCCAGTGTAAGGCAGCGTCCACTACGCCGGAGGAATTTGAAAACTTTGCTCTATTTCTACGGTTAGGCCGACCGTCCACACTAATCCGTAACGAAAACGGAGCTTAACGAAAACGCTCTTCAAACTGGAGGAATTTGAAAACGCCGGCTGTCTGTTTTCGTTTGGACGGAAAACATTTTGAAAACGGAGCTTCTCGAAAACGATAAAGTCACGATAATCATGT